CGTTGGGCATTACCCTGCCCTGGTATATTTCCACCGTGAGGTGTCCGCAGCGCGGCTTACTATGTACTAACAAAGCGTAGGCTGTGGGTTCAGAGAGGTGGAGGGGGTCCTGCTTATCAGCAGCAACGGGCGTTGTGGCAGAGACGACTGATGAACAGTGGCGTGAGGCTGCTGCTGAACCCACGGGTCGGGCACTGGTACGGTGTCAGGCACTGTTTAGACACTACTGTGGAAGTCGAGCGTTGTTCCCCGCTGCGCACCGCTGCTGTGCGCATCGTATGTTGCTACTACGGTGGCTGTATCATTAATGTTTTTCGGAGGCTGCAGCCGCGAACTGTGTACTGATTGAGCCTTATTGGGTTACTGCAGCAATCCAGTGGGGGCTGTTGCGGTTACTAACACTGCTGCTGGATCAGGCTGCCACAACACACGGGCTGTGTGTCGCTATGTCTTGGAGGGACTGCTGTTGTGCCACTTTGCTGTGCACCTAGTACTCTGCTGTACGTTCATTGGTGGATTTCGTTGTACACCTTGTTGTGCATTAGTTACGCGCAGTTGTGGACTTGGAGGAGTGAACAAACCCTACATAAGGCTATCGCAGTGACTTGGAGGGTAGTCAGGGGACTGGCATTCTGCGTTCTGGCCGAGACTTGGCTGCGTCTGCTGCGTTATTGGCCATCATTGCGGGGCCCTCAGGAGATCCAAGATTCCAACGCCCTCTCCCGTGAGGCTGAGCGCATCCCTCTTGGATCTCGAGAGTCTACTCTATCTCCCTCTACCCTTCTTACTCTCAGTCTAGTCTGAGGCTACGAGGGGAAAGCGACAGGCGGGATTGCAACCCGTAGGTCTGCATCAAGACCTTCTGGGAGGTCCACCCACCAATTGCGGGAGCTCTGCCGGAACCCAGGCGGGGTTCTGAAGGCAGGGAACTTTAGGTATAATCTCGTCTGACACATGTGACCCATCCCCCTAGCTATATTACTCCTATGGGTATCTGAACATAACTATGAGAGGGTATCACTTTTTCTACTTTTGTTATGTGTGTCAGGATATACATTGTGAAAAGTTAAATAAACAAGTAAATATGAGAGTCCAGATAATCCCCTTGAGAGAACGGGGGGAAGGTGGGTGAAAGATGTTTTGCATGCTTTGACCGGGTCAACCCAAGGCTGAGCCCCTCCGGGTGGATGTGGGTTCGGTGCTGTGTTTTATTGATGTTTGATGGGCTGTGTCAATGGCTTTCATTGTTGGTCCTACCCGAGTAGGATGGATCAGTCGCTGTTTCTTTTTGGGGTTTCTGGACAGGAGGACGGGCACCTTAGGGTAGGGAAGGCTCAGATTCCTGGTGTTTATTTGAAAGAGTTGAGGTGCATGTTTCTTGTGAGGGAATAAAGGGCATAAGACTACGAGTACCCTAGGGTAGGGCGACTTAGCCATGAGCCATGAATCAACTGGTCAACCAGAGTATAAAATTGGATACATATATTATTTTGAACTTAATACTTCTGGCAGACTGGGCACCCTAGGGTAGAAAAAGTCAGTCAATAAGTCAGGTAGAACTAAAGAAGAAAGGAAATGGATGAAAAATAAAAAGAAGATAACTGGGCAAGATGAACGTACCCTAGGGTAAGACGGTTCAGTTGTATGCTCATGATAACATTAAGGAGAAGAGAGTTAGTATAAATCTGTTTCTATTTTCCCTTCTAAACAAAGAGGGCGGATCGGAAATCCATTTGTTGAAAAAGGTCCGATCGACTGCCTAACGAGAGAAAGAAAAACTTAAGGTTTGTGCATGTGTTTGTACCATATTAACTGTTGTATGGCTGATTAGGCGTACCCTAAGGGTTAGGGCGGCCTAGTGATAAGTCTTTGTCGTTGATGTGATGTAAGTTGGACGTACCCTAGGGTAGAGCGGTCCAACTTTTTGTCGTTCGTACTTATGTTCAGGCAAGTTAGACCTACTACCCCTGGGTAGGGATGGTCTAATGTTACGCCATATGTAACTTTGTATAACGCAGGTTGGGCACACCCTAGGGTTAGGGCATCCCAGTCCTATGCTTCATGTTGTTAGGTTGGCAGAAACCAGACGTACCCTAGGGTAGGGCGGTCTGGTCATATGCATTATGTATACAGTGTATGCTATGTTGGACACACCCTAGGGTAGGGCAGTCCAGTTGTGCGTACCTTATCTGTTACTTAGGCGGATCAGTTACACCCTTCTATGTTTGGGTGAGTCTGATCGTATGCCATAGGCAAGGGGGTCTACTAAGGAGGAAAAAACTGAGTGATCTAATGAACTACTTGGGTCAAACTGATGTAGGATGGTGACAGATGTTTGTTTATACATGCTTGTGGGCTCTCACTCTGGGGCGTCTGTTTCGATAGGCTAGTTGCTTTAGATGCTCGCCAAGTGTTGGAGCCAAAGGTAGATGAGATGGATGATGGGAAGGGGAACTTGGGATAAAGATAGGACTGACCCTGTTAAGAGTTAGGATCAGGGCTAACTCACAATCTCATCTGGAGGTCGTGCGGGCTGTCATTGATTGTGAATCATCAAGCGGGTGTCAGAAGATAGTCCCAAGTATAGCTTGCTTTGTCTTTTTGCCTTTCAGCTTTGTATAAATCTTGACAGCCTCCCGTTCCTACGGGAAGTGCTACCGGAATTTCTACAAATCTAAAAGAGATAGTCATTTGTAGGCTCGTAGAAATTCTGAAAAGGCACTTTTGCTACGGAAAGTGCTGCCGAAATTTCATAGAATTTGAGGAGTTATAATATTTTTCAGCTAGGGGCTACTTAGCAGGTCTTTCCTGGTTAGGGGAAAGGTTCAGTGACTTGGTACTAGTAGAGGAGCTAGGTTACGACTTAGGGAGTGTTCCCCTTTTCTGGCATGAAGATAATAGTTGTTCTTTTTTTACCTGTACTGTGATGCAAGTTTCCGTATTTTGCCTGAAGGCTTGATCTGATCATCCTGATCCTTCAAAAGGGTCACATTTCGGTTATCACTTATAACAAGTCGGTTGCCGATTCGTCGGTTTACGACTCAACTCTCCCATTTCTCCTGCCTCTCAACCTAAGGCTTTGACCCTTGCCGAGATTTATGTGTTTCTTTGGGTTTTTACCCAACTTCTTTATAAATGGCAATTTTTTAAAGACTGAGTATCTTTGTTGAGGATTGGTGGGGAAATGGTTGGGCTTGCTTGCATAAGGCAGGGTGTGAGCTGTAGAAGGCTGGAAAGTTGACTCCTTTAGTGTGTATGATGTTGTCTGAATGTTGTGCGTATGATTGTAGGTATGTATGGAAGATTCTCGATTGAGTCATGTTGAGTGATTATGTTTGGATTCAGATGGGCAAACCACACAACTGTTGTGAGAGTGTATTACCCCACAACTTTTTGTTTGAGTGAGATTGTTATTTTCCCACCCTGATAATGTGATAGTCAAAACAAGTGTACGCTCGGATAACCCTCGTAAGGCTATGCGACCGCACGCTTGCGTTTTTTCTTACTCAATGGTATTAGTTGGTCGGACATTAGCCAGAGCCTGGAAGTCGAGGACCTTGTCCAGGACGTCCTGGGTCCTAGGCTCAGCGCGGAAGGGATCACCCCTCGCACGGGGCTGATCTACTTACTGCTCCGGGAAAACAGAAGCGCCGCAAGTATAAGGGGCTGTCCCCCAGCAACTCAGTCCGGCGGGGCGTCCATGTTTTCCCCTGCCAACGTCAAGTATTTCCTTTCTTCCCTTGTTTTAAATTATTTTGGTGGAATGATAAAGTTCCGGGCGGAAGGGTTAGCGTGTCGCCGGTGATGCGTCAGACAACTCACCACCGCTCTGAATCCCTTCCTGCCCTAGGGACCATCTTACCCCGCACCCTTTGGGGCACCTCAGGGTGCAGAAGATGGTAAGGCCCTCAGGCCAGTTTTGCGCTCGCTAAAGGTTTACCCCCCTTAGCGCGCACTTCAGTCGATGCCTGAGCGTTGAGAGCGACCCCATGGCTCAAATGAGGCCACTCGGGTATGGGCACCACATAATGAGACGTCATCACAACTGCTTACGCAAGTCTGCATTGTTGGTCGGTATGCGCAGGCCTTACGTCCGCGCGGTTTTATATTAACCCACGTGCGCAACGCTTACCGATTTCCGCGTTCAAAAGTTATGGGTCGAGCGGAGAGGGCAAAAGCCTGTTATGGCCAGTAGACCCAAGTTTCGGCAGCGCGAAATGACGCGGGAGCAAGGTATCAGTCGTAGTCGGCCTATGGGGATCCGCGTATGAGCCTCCAACGTCTCGAACATCGGGTTGCCTATGGGTCTGATTTTGGGCATCATCCCCACGCATCTTTCGTGTTGGCCTACCCCTTCCATTTGAGACGGCTATCAGAATATGGGCTAGACAGAGAAAGGAAAGGGGGTGATCCTCCTTTTCTATCTGTAGTTATTTCCTCTTTTAAGTTTCCATGGTTGGACGTTGTAGTCCGTGGTAGCCGTCAAAGTCAAACCCCTTGATTTTGGCTACCACGACAGCCCTGAAGCTGTCTACTCAACCGGGGGTGTGGTCTCCAACCGCGCGTGGCGGTTGTCTAGCGCCGAGATGGTAACCCCTCAACGCGCTTGTCAGCCGACACTTGAGTGTCGAACACGACCCTCGAGATTATCAAGGGCCGCGCTGTCGGGGTGAATACCCTTACAAGGGTATCCGCCCTAGTTTTTGCAAGTGACAAAAAATAGTTTGGTTTATAGTGTAAGTGTTCCACGCGAGGGCGTGGCCGCGTATGTGGTTTACGACGACAGAGGTGGTTGACTAAAATAAAGAGTGCGTGGGCGCGCAGGTTTAAGATGCGCGTGATTCTTTTCTGCTGTTGATCATAAAGCCGGGCGGACATCGGTCGTTTTATTTAATAATATTAATAATATTTATTTATGTTTGATTAAGCAGCAATTAAGGATATTTTCGGTTGATTGGTACGCTAGACCGAGGCGAGCGCGCGTGCGAGGACGGCGGCGTGGACGGCGACAGTCTGACTGCAGTTGGTCTTGGCACGCGGACTGGCGCGAGTGGCGGCCGTGGTACAAGTTGGTAAGTCGGCCCAGACGCTGGGCGGCCGCGCGCACGGTTGTAGGCTGAGATGAGGCTCAGGCCAATTTCCCTGGCCCTGAACGCAGCGCCGTACCGCCTCATATGGCACTCGACGGATATTAGACTCAGGCTTGGGCTTAGCCCTATAGGTTACGACACTGGGTTGACGATACAGAGATCCGGGGATCGAGGCCAGTAGGGCGTCGGTGCAATGGCAGCGGAGCAGCGTGGAGCAAAACCTGAGGGGTTAAAGGCCCAACGGGGCTATCCCCCTCAGTTTTATTAATAGGCGCGGCGGCGGGCTCGACCCACGGGGGAGGCGAGGTGTTTGTAGTTCCTCTCCCTTTTTCCCGGTTTTGTTTATTTATTTACTCATTTATTTATTAAAGTTTATTTTTCTTATACCCTAGCCATTGTCTGTTTTCAGTCTCATTCCTCACTTGCACATTTTGGAGTACGTGTTGGAGTCTTGTGTGGGGAGCTGCGTTGTGCCATCTTGCTCCCCCTTCTTCCTCCATCTCCATCGCTGTCACTAGCGGAGCACCACACCTGGTGGGTCCGCTACATAGGGGTTGTTGTCGTTGCTTTTCTTGCCACGGGCTTGGTGGAGGTCCTATTGTTTGTCTGTTCTGTTGTTGTGGACATGTGCACAAACCATCACAGTATCCGTATGTGAGTGTATACTAAGTGTTCCTTTCTCTGACTCTACATTCTTCCATCCAGTGACCTGTAATTTATATGCTTGGTTTGTTAGCATCAACCCCTCTTCTCCCTCTTCCATGTGTGCACGCGCTTCTCTCTTTCCCACCCTCTGTCTGTCTGTCTGTTCTGTGTTGTGGTCCTAACCAATTTCGGAGTGTTCACTCGACAGAAAGTTCAATGGCATCCAATTGCAAAAAGAAATGTTTAAACATGAGGGGAGAGAGAAAAAAAAAGCTCATTCCAAATCCTGCTTCCTCCCCTCTTATTCAAACAAGAAAGAACAATAATAATGTTGAATGGTTGAACATCATCTATGTTGCATTGACGAATCTCTACCGCAGGAAGAAATTCTGCATAGGTCAAAGATATGCATGGACAACACAAAGCAGTTATGTGGTCTGTCTGCTCCTACTGTTGTGTCTGTTTGTCTGTCCATCTGTATGTCGGTCTGCTCTGGTTTGTATGTCTGTCTGTCTGTCTGTCCGTCTGTCTGTTTGTCAGTTTGTCTGTCTGTCGCCTTGTCTGGTCATTCAGTCAATCAGTCAATCAGTCAGTTTGTTTGTCTGTATGTCTCTCCGTCTCTTTGTCTGTCTGTCTGTCTGTCCGTCTGTTTGTTTGTCTGTCTGTCTGTCTGCCTGGTCTGTAAGTGGATGAACCAGAATGAAAGGTTGTCTAATGGTCCAACATGTTTGTGTGTATGTGTGTGTGTGTGTGTCTGTCTGTCCGTCTGTCTGTCTGTCTGTCTGTCTGTCTGTCTCTTTCTTTCTTTGTTTCTTTCGTTCTTTCTTTTTTTCTTTGTCTAACATGTTTCTTTCTTTTATTCTTTTTTTTCTTTTTTTCTTTCCTTCTTTCTTTCCTTCTTTCTTTCCTTCTTTTTTTCTCTTTTTTTCTTTCTTTCTTTCATTCTTTCTTTATTTCTTTCTTTCTTTCTTTCTTTCTTTCTTTCTTTCTTTCTTTCTTTCTTTCTATGTCTTTGTTTGTCTGTTTGTCTGTTTGTCTGTCTGTGTGTGTGTGTGTGTGTGTGTGTCTGTCTGTCCGTCTGTCTGTCCGTCTGTCTGTCCGTCTGTCTGTCTGTCTGTCAGTGTCTCCTAATCTGTCTGTCTGTCTCCTAATCTATCTGTCTGTCTGTCTGTCTCCTAATCTACCTGTCGGTCTGTCTGTGTGTCTGCCTGTCTGTTTGTCTCCTAATTTGTCTGTCTGTCTGCCTGTCTGTCTCCTAATCTATCTGTCTGTCGGTCTGTCTGTCGGTCTGTCTGTCTGTCTGGTCTGTAAGTGGATGAACCAGAATCAAAGTCTGTTTGTCCTTCTGTGTGTGTTTGTGTGTGTGTGTGTGTGTGTGTGTGTGTTTGTCCGTCTATTTGTCTGTTTGTCTGTCTATGTGTATGTGTGTGTGTGTCTCTCTGTCTGTCCGTCTGTCTGTCTATCTGTCCGTCTGTCTGTGTGTCTGTCTGCCTGTCTGTCTGTCCGTCTGTCTGTTTGTTTGTGTGTGTGTGTGTGTGTGTGTGTGTGTGTGTCCGTCTGTTTGTCTGTCTGTCTGTCTGTGTGTGTGTGTGTGTGTCTGTATGTCCGTCTGTCTGTCTGTCTGTTTGTCAGTGTGTCTGTCTGTTTGGTTTGTAAGTGGATGAACCACAATCAAAGTCTGTCTGTCCTTCTGTCTGTCTGTCTGTCTATCTGCCTGCCTGTCTGTCTGACTTCCTGCGTGTCTGTCTCTTTCTTTCTTTCTCTTTCTTTCTCTTTCGTTCTTTCTTTCTTTCTTTGTCTAACATGTTTCTTTCTTTTTTTCTTTTTCTCTTTCTTTCTTTCTTTTTTTCTTTTTTTCTTTCTTTCTTTCTTTCTTTCTTTCTTTCTTTCTCTTTCGTTCTGGCATGCACCCTTAAAGTTGGCTACTGCGTGCCTGAAACTGGCATGCACCCTTAAAGTTGACACACACACATACACACACACACACACACACACACACACACACACACACACACACACACACATTCTGGCATGCACCCTTAAAGTTGGCTACTGCGTGCCAGAAACTGACGAATGATTACCGTTGCAACTTCGAATGGCACGCAGTAGCCAACTTGGGAACAGACACGCAGACACACGCACAGACCATTCATACACACACATTTATAGACATATACACAAAGACACACAGACATCCACATAGGTTCATACATAGACGTCACACACACACACACACATGTCGATGACATCATTGTGCGTTTCCACTGGCAGAGAGAAGAGGACGAAAGAAAAACCGTACGCATCATGTCGATGTCAGTAGCACAGGTGGAGGCTGCTCTTGCAGAGGTAATGAAGTATGCAAAGGAGGGCGTCCACTACAATGGTGACAGCGAGTTGTGTTTGCTTCAGGACAGGGTGCGGAGGTACTTCATAGTCGCTGTGGATATGAGATCCACAATCATGGCAAACAGTGAGGGCTGTGTCAAAGCACGAACACTCTTGCAACGCTTCAGAGAGTCACCACATGTACGTGTGGACATCGATGTGGAAGACAGTGCATACAGTGTAAAAGGAGTGGTCCAGTGGATCTGCAGCAAAGGGATGTGCAAAGAAGGAGACGTGGACTTGACAATGCAGCAGACAGGGGGGACATATACACCTGCGAACTTGGGCAAGTTGCTGGGCACTGTCGCACGGAATGGGGGAATGTTGGTTGATGGGTCGAAGGACGAGTTGAAGAGTGGTGCTGCAGAAATATTGGTGTTGTCCAAAATGAAGGACATTACAGAAACACCGCCAGAAGACTTTCAAGATGTTCATGTCATTGTCGCAGATGGTGTGGAATATATTCTGCTGGATCAACTTGTGGACTTCATGAAAAAGAGTGACGACGACAGGAACGTCATTCATGAGGCGTTGCACGAAGTGATAGAGTTTGCACTGCAGGGTCAAGATCTGATAGAATTTGTGTCAGCAATAACAGAAGACAACATCATATCTGGCAGACTGTTGTGGGGGGAGTTGTTATCAGCTGCTTTGGAGCGGCTCGGTCTTGCAAGCTGCGATGTTGAGAGACAAAGAGAAAGAGAAGAAGGGTGGAAGGTGATGGTCACGGAAACAAATTTAGCAATCATTCCAGACAACGGACAGACATCAGCAGCACAAGAATCAATAACCAGTATGGCAGTCGATGTACCTCCCATGCAGACAGCAACGAGAGAGCAGCTAGTGTGTTGCGATATCTTCAATGTTTTCACAATGGAGAAACAATAGTGTGATCGTGGATTTGAAGAGACCGATTTGCCAAGTTGTTGTGCAGAGTACACAGACAGTGCAGAAGAAGAAGATGAAGAAGAGGATGAGGGGGCATCATCTTCTGACGTGGAAGTGAGAGGCAGCGATGTCAGCAGCGACGAGGAAGATGAGGAACATGATGTATACTATGATTTGAAGGTTGCGGATGGACAAGTGACAAAAGGGTGGGCACATGCAATTCTAAGGTTGGCACGTGCTTTTCCCGATCCGCACAAAGTGTTGTGTGTTGTGATGAACGGGGCAACACCAGATGGTGCACTACAGTATGCCGCAGTGACCAACATAATGAAATCATGTAACAAGGGAAAAAAGTGGTCACGTGTTGGCAAGGGATGGTTTGTTCTGGTCAATAGAGAGGTTGTGCTAGCAACGTCACTGACATGAGAGTCAACCTAAATTGCCTCATACACGGCGCAATGGCGATAGCTTGGGGAGAGACATTTCACCCCGGCTTGTCGACAGGAGACGCAATAGTTAGTGCTCGGGTACGGCAGCGACCAGAAACACACCCACACACCACGACAGACCATGCTAGACATCAGGGATGATGACAGACATGCATCCCTCAACCTGTACATCCCTCTATGTCTGCCTCAATTTCAACGACGGTCGGGTTCACTACTGCGTGCCATATCAGTGTCCACTGGTGCTGTTTGTTGTCGTTTTGGCCCGCACTAGTAAACCTCCCCCCTCTCTCTCTCTCTCTCTCTCTCTCTCTCTCTCTATATATATATATATATATATATATATATATATATATATATATATATTTCTCATATGTCGAGTTGTAGCTATATTAGAATCTCTACATCCATCTGCGGGTTATATTTAATGCTGCCAATTGTTTGCCTCTCTAAGTACATGCGGTTCACTACAGCGTTCAGACACAGGATTGAACAATATTTCAATCATTTGATGATTGTTACGATGTATGTCATAATTTGTTGCCTTTTGGAGTACGTGAGACACATCAAACCCCCTGTGATAACCAATATGTGTATGTTGTGTTTTTTTTTTGCATTCTTTGTAATTTAAATTCAAATGTAGTAGGTTGTGAAATGTTTTGGAAGTTTGTGCAGAGGTCGGCTGAGGTGCCGAGTTGCAATCATTTTCACGCGGACATGGAAAACACATACCACATTCACAAACGTCGTGGATGGATAGTTACGAACTTAGCCAGCCGCAAAACCGTTGTGATGAATGTTGTGTCATATATCGTGTACCATGCGTAAGTCGTTGTCTCTTCTTACACGACCATAGAACCTGTCATGGCATATAAATTATCGTGTCACACGGTTGACTACTAATCTTTGTCAATTGGGATCAGCGACACAGACCATTCGTACCAAAAACGGCAATCAGTACTCCCTCTCTGTCTTTTTCTCATACAGAAGAGGATGTGCGACACTTACACAATATAACAAAATATGCTCTGCAACTTATAATTCTAACGACCTGAACCAATGTACAAAATGTTAATGAAAACACTGTCCGCACCGCTCTATTTGTTTTTGGAATGCACTGCGTGAACAGAAAATTGACAGCGGTCCACGGGTGTGAGACTGTGGAAGGCCTTTCATGTCATTACGAACTTTGAACTCACATCGTGCGAGGGCATGCCCGGCCGTGGCGGACGAAAGAACACATGGCCAGGAGATGGGTGTGGTCGATGACGCCGGAGCATCAAGTATAGGTGCAGTGAATCTCGTGAGCGATGAGAGCGAGGACGTCGGGGCCCCCGAGAATGTAAACGGGGAGAGCGGGACATTCGAAGAGCAGCAACCGCAGCCTGTCAAATCTTTTGACAGCTCTCGCAAGTTAGCGGCACTGATTTTCTCCGCCAGGGGCGACGTCGGTATGTCGCAGAGCGACATAGATGCTCTCTTGTCACTTCTCACGGACCCGAGATTCTGCACGAGAGACATCGCGTATCGTAATAGTCGAGAGTGTTTGGCATGGGCAGGGAGTCTAGCAGATGTTGCTGAATGGAAAGAGTTGGATCTACGTTGTGACGATTGGCCACAGGATGCGCACGCCATCTTGTGGCACCGCGACTATCCGGCCCACGCAGCGGGGTGCTAAGTTATCACATCCAGTCGATTATTCGAGCGGACAAAGGTGTGGACGAGAATGGTAATCCACGTTATGTTATCCCTCTTTCATTGTATTCCGACAAGACGCATACAGACGGTCGTCAAAACCAGACGACGTACCGTCTGATGATGTCACTAGTCGACCACACATCCGAAGCCACACTGCTGGCCTATCTTCTTGTGCTTCATCATCGTCCGCGTGACAAAGGATCGGGTCTGCAGTCCACCGCATTCAGAAAGCGAAAGGCCATCATTTTGCACAAGGTCCTTTCAGTGGTGTCGCAGTCTGCGAAGGAGGCATCTCATGACGGAATAATGATACCGACAACGCGATTCGGGGACATAACTGTCCACTCTTTCCTCCTCAACTATATTCAGAACTACCAGAACGATGTGCGATTGCAACTGTGAAGTTTGATGTATGTCCGACATGCACCGTGTCCAAAAACGATTTTGATGTCATAGCCGATTTCACAGACTGCAGGAGATCATAGACGCTGGAAACACACCTCACAACAGATGTGTTCACCGCCGACGACATCGACGTTCGCCGTGCAGCAGAAGCACGAATGTCGGAGTTGAACATGCATAGGCATGTTCAACAGAACGACCTTTGGGGGTTCTACAGAGGCCCCAATGGTGACGATCCTCAGCTAGACTACCACCTGGCATTGCAACCAGACCGTATGCACACAATCGAGCACGGCATATTCCTACACATGATTGACGCATTCAGGACCGCAGCCTTTGAGAAGTTGCCGCACTTATTGCAAACAGAGATCCTGAAGGAACTAGATGCAAGGTTGCAAAGCGTTAGTGAGAGATGCACGTGAACATACCCTTGACTTGTGTTGGCGGTGGCCACTGGCAGCGACTTTTTTTCGAGGGAGGGACGGTTCGAGGCGAAGCAAAACTGGTATGTGATGATAGTGTGCGTGTTCCTTATTTCTAATATTATACCTCTCTCGACAGGCAAGGGCATTACCGTTTGTTTTGTGAAACTGATGGAAATGTACATACGAGTGTTTCGGTGTACAACACAGTCGTGCTTCGCTCGATGAATGCGACGCTTGGATCACAGACTTCGTAACGACCATCAAAGGAAAATTGAAAAAATATCAACCATCAACATGAAAACTTCCCAAGTTGCACGATCTCATGCATCTGACTACGTGTATTGAGCGATCCGGTGTCCCCGACACCTTCGCGACAGAGTTTGGGAGCATCACCACAGGAAACTCTGCAAACAGCCATACCTGACATCAAACAAGCGGAAAGCATCAACCCAGATGGTAAACCATGTTCGCCGGTCATTGGTGTTGCGCGAAGAGATCGGGATCGTGAGGAAACGGAGGAAGAGAATAGTTGAGAACCAGTCGTCCGTGACAGACTCAGAAATGAACACCCTCGCACTACGCGATACGACAATGCTGCAACTGCGGTGGTTCGACATCGATGACGAGTACATACGCGAGGGAAAAGGCATTGACAACCATGCGTGTAAGATACTCGAAGAGCTTCCTTGCAGACGCGATTTTCGAGGTGCGCTTACGACATACATAGTGGAGAATGGTTGTCAACCTCCTTCTGACAACCTGCTTATACACACATGGACACACCTGGTCATCGCTTGCATACAGGACGGAACAAACAGGGGCACACTTGTTCAAACTGCAAGAGCATCGCCACAGTTCTATGAGAGACCAGTGCACAGTGGTGTCGCAATTAGAGCAGGCAACGAATGCACATAGCTTGCATCAGTAGCCATATTTTTTTTGTTGTGGACGCACCCGTGGACAGCGGTAATATGGAACACAACTGCGGATTTGTGCAATGGTACAAGGAGGTCGACAGTGAACGGCAACACATGACAGGTTGCAAGAAATTGAAATGAGAGAAGTTGAATGGACATCAACACAGTAGCGTCGTTTCGACCGACACTATTGTAGACATAGTTCACATTGTTCCGCGCTTCTCTAAACCACAATGGGGATCGAAGCAGCATGCAAAACAGCGTGAGGACTGTTTTTATTTGAACAAGTACATATTGTAGAAGAAACAAATGCAAACTAAGTTTTCATGTTTGCTAAAAGAGAGAGAGAGAGAGAGAGGGTGTGTTTCTATCTGTCGTCGCCACGGGACAGTCATGTTGTTTCTTCCGAAGTATAGGGGGACAAGAGAGGACATTTATCTCTTTCTTTCCGTTATTTGTTGAGAAATATCCTGTCAAATGTGGCCAAGCTTATGAAGCGGTGAAAACCACATGCGAGACAAAAGTGTCCCCAAAAGTTCACTACTGCGTGACATTTACGTGGTTAACGGTGATAGTCGTTTTAGTTTTGGCACTGAGAGAGAGAGAGAAAGAGAGAGTTTCTATTTGTCGCCGCCACGGGACAGTCATGTTGTTTCTTCCGAAGTATAGGGGAACAAGAGAGGACATTYRTCTCTTTCTTTCCGTTATTTATTGAGAAATATCATGTCAAATGTGGCCAAGCTTATGAAGCGGTGAAAACCACATGCGAGACGAAAGTATCCCCAAAAGTTCACAACTGCGTGACATTTACGTGGTCAACAGTGATAGTCGTTTCAGTTTTGGCACGCAGTACCCTCTTTCTCTCTCTCTCTSTCTCTCTSTCTSTCTCTCTCTCTCTCTCTCTCTCTCTCTCTCTCTCTCTCTCTCTCTCTCTCTCTCTCTCTCTCTCTCTCTCCCCAAAGTATCCTATAAAAATGATTTGAAGTTGTTAAAAAAATTAACAAATCGTCTGTGTCATTCCAATTTGACCGACACGTGTGAACAAGAACAGAAACTTACGACGTCGCGTAGCGTTCAGGAAGGAGTGACACAGAACACTTAATAACATGGTGCAGGTAAGAGAAGCCGAGCGAGGATGACAGAGTCACAAAAAAGTAACACGTGTGGTGGCGGCACGAAGTGCTCATATGTGGGTACGAAACTGGTCATCGGTCCAAGGATGGAAAATAAAGACGAAGAGGTGGCAAAAAATGTTGAGGGACCCTTGGTAGTTCGAAATGTACGATATAATGACAGAGGGTGAAGCAAAGTCTCCCCAGTTGATAATCGAAGCACTAAGGAAAAAGCGACAGTCGGGGACATGACGAGAACTAGAGAAGAGCAGACTGACATTAATGATGACGACGAATTGACCGTTGGCTTGACCGTTGAGGTCGTCAAAGGACGATGCGAGGAAAGTTCACTACTGTGGGCATTTGTTACATAAAGATCGGTGGCTTAACCAGTTGATTGGCCCGCAGTAGCCAACCTTCTCGCGGTGATGGCCGGGGACATGTTCCAAGTTTTTCTTTGCTTTTTTTTTTTTTGTTATTGTGACTATGCGAACTCGTGCCGCCTGACAATACGGATACAGTCATTCTGACCTACAAAGAGGTTGGTAACTTAAATGACGTCGCAATATCAACAATAAGATCTTGGTTGTGCCTCCCTCTCTCTCTCTCAATGCGGCCATTATACTTCAGGGGTGTATGGATCGACGCACGACATTGCTGACGCAGTTGTTGTTCGTATTCCACTTTGATGTATGTGGGGAAAAAAAGGTCATGACTCCAAAGTCAAAATACGAGGATCTATGCAGGTCTTTGAAGGCCGTGGGAAAGAAGGACAAGGGGAGGAAGAAATGCAAGGCTGATAAGAAAAAAGAAAGGAGAGAGCATCGCAGAAGCGGATCCCAGAATGCAAAAACGGAGCGGACCAGCAGCCGCAGAAACGGATCAAAAGTTTCTCTCCCATCAAGTCAGAGGGGGATTTCAAAGCTGAAAGAACGCAATGAGTCACCCCCTGCGACTCCTGCCCCACGGAACCGTGCCAGCGGCGTCGAGAACCGTCCACCCAAGGCCCCCGAGAAGAGGTTGTGGGAAGACGGAATGTCAAAGGTGCATCGCAGGACAAAGAAGAGAATCACGTACAAAAAGGACAAAATGGTGGAGATGATGAATCTGAGAGCCTCGGACGATATGCACAGCGCGACCCGAGAGGAAGCAGAAGAGGAACACGACCAGTCCATATCAGAAAAGTCTGACGGGGAGGAGAACGAGGCAACAAGTGACGAGGGAGGTGACAGTGAAACTTCCGACGAACATTTTCGCGACACTCACGACGCTGATGACGAGGACGGCAGGAGCAGCGACGGCACAGCACAGGACGAGGGCGATGACGGGGCAGGCGAAGACGACAGAAGCGCGGACGAAAGAGGGAGTTCCCCATCTCCGAGAAGAACGCGACGCACGAGGGAACCCGAAAATGGCGGCGAGGGAGGCGCAGCCGACGCGCCCTCCATTGACAGACAACTAGTGAGGCACGACAACGCAGTTAAAAAAGGTAAACAAAATGTGCTGAAGTTGCTCCTCTTGCACAACGATTACGTGGTGACGGCGCAAAGTGATGACATTTCCTTAATGCGATGATGTCGCTGTGCTGAACTTACAGTTGAAACGGGCTGTTGAATTTGGCAGGTGCGAAAATGGGTGCGAAATGCCGAGTTCTTAATATTATTTTGTGCGTTGTAATGTGTGTCTTCCAGCAAATGGCACGAACTCGCAAAGAAAAGTGTGCGCGAGCAGGGGAGGACAGCAACAAGGCAATCAAGAAAGCGGCGTATTCTCGAAGAAAATGAAGGACAGACTGTTTTGGGCGGTCGCAAAAACCTTTGCGTTCTCAGCAGCAAAGGACGCAACTCTGTACCCAACAAAGGATGAATTTTCCACGGCGCTTCAAACAACGGCCAAACAGATAGGTGAGAACGCCGAGGAAGGACTGCGATCACACGTAGCAGAGTGCGGGATTCGAGCAGTCATAGGGGAGTGCAACAGAATGATGACAATCGTGCGTGGAGAGATAACATGGCAACTGAAACATTGGTTATGGGCTGAAAAAGGGATCCCGCTTGTACGATCGCAGCAAACAGATCACCAGCTCCCTACTCGCAACAAGATGCGAGCAGAGATGAAGGAGAACAAAACGTGGAGACGGAGCGGCAACGATCCTTGGGGCGCCCCAGCCTTCAAGACGACACTCACCAAGGTTTTCCAAATGAGGAGGGACGACGTAAACCTTGGCGTGACTCTGCAGCAACTGACTTTTGCAGAGATGGTTCTGCAATATGAAATCGAGCAGACAACAAAGACCACCAGAGCAGCGGAGCAGATAGGAAAATTGGTCTCTATAAAGCAGGACATCGCATCATCTGTCCGCAACCGCGACACAGTCATGAGTTTTTCGATCTTCAAGCTGGACCGTGCCGTATCTGTTGCTGAGAAGGGTGTTGCGCTATTTCGAGATGGCGTGCGCTCTGTCCACAGGAGTGGGCCACACAACACAACAATAACGGATGACGATTTCGACCTGGTGTTCATTGCACCGCTGCATGAGAGAAGCAGAGACGGGGAGAGGGATACAGAAAGTCTATGCACCTGATCTTGAACAGCGCGGGGGGGGGGGGGGGGGGGGGGAACAGAATAGTGTGAATCAGAAGGTTCATTATGGAATCTGTCAATCGGAAGGTTCATTGCACAAGGTCACGGTCATTCCATGAGAGAGAGAGAGAGAGAGAGAGAGAGAGAGAGAGAGAGAGAGAGAGGGCGGGGAGATGAAGACTCTGAACCATGGCACTTGAACAGTCACTTTACAACATATGRTCTGTTATTTATGATACACAATTGTACAATCCCTTGTAATGCTCATCTTTGTGTGATTGGTCATAGAGCGACTATGTTATGAAAAAAACACCATCCGTGGTTGTCCTCAATGCAAGGTTGGCTAGTGCGTGCTACTCTCTCTCTCATGCCACCATGTTGCTAAATTTGTGTCACGCAGTAGTGAACCGTGCTTGTAGCAGACCATCTCAGCATTTAATTGAGGCTCCCACACGCGTCCGTCCATAGAATGAAGTACAATAATCCTACAGACTCGAAAAGGAAGGTTGGCTACTGCGTGCCACTCTCTCTCGCGGACTGCCATGTTGGTAAATTTGTGTCACGCAGTAGTGAACCGTGCTTGTAGCAGGGCAGCTCAACATTTAATCGACGCGCCCTCACGTGTCCATCAGCAAAATGAAATACCGCAATCCAGCACCAATCAAAAACAAAGGTTGGCTACTACGGGCCAATGTCTGTCTCGCACTGCCATGTTGGTGAATTTGTGTCACACAGTAGTGAACCCTGCTTCCATCTCTTTCTCTCTCTCTTTTTTTTTCTCTCTCTTTCTCTCTCTCTCTCTCTCTGGCCCTCTCTCTTTTTATCTTCGGTCATTGTGGTCGTTGCATGTCAGGAGTACTGAAAGACTCAACGATTGACATTTGCGAAAGAGCATATCATATCGTGCAGCAGGAGAAAATGACTGGAAGAAACGGCGAAAACCGACGACATGAGCCAAAAATATCGATTTTTTTCCCATACACAGAACGTAACGTTCTACGAAAGGTGAACACGTTTTCAACACGTTTCAACAAGTTTTTAACACGTTTCAACAAGTTTTCAACACTTTCAACATGTTCTCAACACGTTTCAACAAGCTCTCCACAAGTCTTCAACAACTTTTCAACAAGTTGTCAACAAATGGTCAACAAATAGACCAACATCCTTTCATTAAACGGACCAACAAATGGACACACCAGTTTCAGTTTTCCCAATGTTTGGTCAGCGTTGGTTTCCTTCACTTCAAGTGGAACAAATGACCCCCCCCCCCGCCAAACATTTTATAAACACAGTTCCAACGGTTGAAATGTGGTGTCCACACGTGATCATCCTGTCAGAAAATTTGCCACAATTTTTCTGTTGTTGTTGGTCCATCTTCCCCTCCTTCAGCAGCTGTTGCATGTGCTCTTTCCTGATTGTTCTGTCGAGGAGTACCCTCCATCCCTCCCGGATTCATACGAGACGGAGTTCCTTGAGGGGGGGGGGGCGGGGAAGTTAGGACAGCTCGCTTGAGCACCAAAGAGCCCTGATGTGCCAGTTGCCAGACCCACCCCGTTAGGGGGGGGGTGAACTTGCTGCTGAAGGTGTTGGATCCATGGTGCGTAGGCCTGAACCAGCCATGGTAACCAGCCTTGTGCTTGTGCTTGAGGCCCCGGGGGGATGCCGCCTTGAGGAAGAGACCCCGGAGAGAAAATTGGATTGAATTGCGCATACTGATAGGGTTGAAACCCTTGTTGTTGATCCGAGATCGAAGCTCCTGATCTGCCGTCTTACGGATTGTGAGAAGTGTTCGGGCCCATCGGTCCTTGATAGAGAGGAGCAGAAGTTCCAGCTTGAGAGTAGCCTGGAGTCTGGCCTGGAGCTTGTTGTGGACCCTGATCTTGTCGTTGTCGAGCCGCACGCCTACAGTGGGCTTCCTCATGGAAGAATGCTCTACATTTGCTACACCGTGGAGTATCGGAGCAGGTCAGGTTGACTGAGAGCTCATCTCCTTCTGCCGTAATTACGATGATCTTATCCTTCATGTTGGCTCAAGCATCAGGCTCTAGGTCGAATTTGACATTGATTAGAGAAGGCTTCTGACGGTCAGTTTCGACCGGGTGAGTTCTAACGATAGGGCCAATGGCCTTGCGAATTTGCGCTTCTAGGTAAATGAAGGAGTCGAGCGGGACCTGAACAGCAACAATCCAAAAGGAAGCATGTTCTTTCTCCGTTCTTTGCTCACGTAACTGGGCTTTGGTCAACCAGGGCTTGAATTCAAGCCTATACTCGGTAGGTCCCAGGGTAATCGAATCGTGTCCTTTGGTAACCATCCAAGATGCAATTGCCCTACTCTTTGCTACATAAGAAACTACATTCGGGCTTTCTACCTTCACTCTTCCTCGACTAAAAGACCCCACTTCGAAGCTGCCCTCCTGGAGTTTGGAATCTTCGTACGCCCTCACGATATCATCTTTAACCTTCTTTGGAGGAAATTGAGCACCCTCTCGAAAGATTATTGTAACTACACGTTCTTTCAACCAGTTAATCTTGATCCTATCGATGGAGGCGTTGACCTTGAAACGGACCTCCCTGCCTTCGATTTCCATTTCACCAGGGTCAATGTCCGAGGGACAGATTCCTTCCTCATAGCAGAGGCGGATGAGTTCCCGAGCGTGGCGCTCATCTTCCCATCTAGACCAGGGTCTGGCGGGGGGGAGCGAGGTCCCCGTTCGTTCGGATCAGTCGGGGCAGCGACATTTTCCACCTCCATGATGCAAGATACTTAGCGATGCCAGACTACGTTGGGCGTGGAATCAGCGTTCGGACATAGAGACCACTTCGGGCTGCGAACCAGGACACCTTGAATAGAAAATGAGGTAAGGGAATGAAGAGATCCAACTACAGAGAGGCCAGAAGAGGTTGGTTGCTACGTGCTGATGAGCACTACATCATGGAGACAGAACAGGAAGTTCCCACTGACATTAACGGTAATGGAGGAAGGGAGGAGGTTTCTTACCAGCTGGACTTTTGGTCGCCAACCTACTCACCTACCAATTCGTGAGGCGGGCCGCTCGGACATGGCGAGCGGGAAGCGGGACAGGAACCTGTGCGTCATCATGGTGGTGAGGCTACAGGCGACCAGTCTTCGTTGTTACCGAGGAGACCGCGCGCGGACCGACACGCCGTAGCGCCGGTGGGGGCGCGCCGGCGAAACCCTGACAGCATCCTTTTTCTTTTTTTCTTTTTTTTTTTTGAAAGGGCGAAGCCTTGAGGTATTATCATCGGACTAACCAGCCCAGGTAAATTCAATCTTGTGTCTAATCTGACAACGGTGGCCTGATAGCCTTAGGGTGGCCTGATAGCCTTCAGGAAACCCCCAACGGGGGGCACCGGCCAGGGGACAGCCGGTGGCAGAGGGACCGAGCATCATCTGAGTGGCCAGTCGCTGTGCCTCCCCGATTACCCCTCCCCCTATGAACATCAGCAGAGCCTGCTTTTTAATGCCAATTGGGGGGACCAACGGGCTATCTCTAGGTGGCGGGCGCCAAGCATCCTTGGAGATGACGAGGAGATGAATGGAGGAGAGAAAAAGAATTGAAAGAAATAACCGGCGAGCTCAGATAGGTCCGGCACGCCAAGAGGCAAGGTGCCATCCACTTGTCAGATTTGTTTGTTCTGGACCATAGTAACTAACGGATCTCGTCGGACCACTCACCAAACAACCAACATCGTGAACGCATGTGAACCACCGTTTCGTCCCGATACGTCCAAAATGTCGGGCTTTTTCTGCCAGGTAGTGCGGCGAGCCCCGACGGATTGATTACAAGCATCGACGTCCAGAAACATAGGATGCGGGCTGGCAAGCGGGAACTTCAGAAAATAAGAGGAAAAAAAAAGGGAACTCCCTCGGACCTTTGCCCACGTGAACGTGGATTTCGTTGATGACATGTCGATGCGCACGTGCCACAGTCATCGGTGTCCGTGTCCGTGTTCGCGACGCCATCTCGAACTTGGTGCTCGCTCCTCGCTCCTCGCTCCTTGGGGGTACGTGTAGCATGGACCCTGTGCTATGACACGCGAACCTACCCACTAACTATGGCGCGAAGCTACCCCTTAACGTGGGTTAGCTGACGGTGCGTGACGCGCCTCTCCTCCGCTGTGTCGGAGGTTGGCACCCGCTGCCTGGTGCAGCGGGGCTGGAAGCGGGCACTACCCTGTTCGCCCGAATAGAACGCTCGGTGATTACTCTTCGCTGCATCTGGACTGGAAGTCGTGGGTGTCGGGGAGCTACGAGCTACTACCGGTAGCTCCCCGACACGGTAGCACGTTGCTGCTGGCGAACACGGTCGCTCTCTCTCTCCGTCTCTCTGTCTCTCTGTGTGTCTGTCTCTCTCTCTCTGACCCTTTCATGCAGCAAGTCGTGCGCGTTGGGGAGGTCGACTACCGGTAGCACACTGCTGTGCTTCGGCTTGCAGCCGCCAAAGCGCGCCAAACGCACCGGGGGCACACCGGTGCGTCCGACGTGGCCGGGCATTTGTTCCTGACCGCTCCTCTCTCACCGCCCGCCACGTCAGCGCCACGGTCCGACGTCGCAGCGTGCCAAGTCCCGCCGTGGCCCCGTCACAACACCCGACACGTCAGCGCGACGTCACGAGCTCCTGGGAACTCGCCGCCAACGGCGCGCTCTGTTGCCTCTTTTATCGCGACTGAGCGTTCGACACGTCAGCGCCACGTCAGCGCCAGTCAGAAGATTTTGTCTGGAGGTTGACGTGGCTGCTTAGAGAAAAGCCAAAATGGCCGCCGCCGTTATGATGCAACCCGTCCCGCACGCTCATCAGCACGTGCACGTGTCACCACAGGGCCTCTCCGCGGCCCAGGTGCGTCGCCGAGATTTCCGAGCCGATCAGCTACCGGTAGGTCCGCCCGGAGCGAAGTGTCGTCGTATTGCCGCTGCTGCTGGTTCTCCAGACGGACACGTGTCAGGTGGTGGTGGTAATTCTGGAGCGGCCATCTCCGCGCGAGACATGGCACCACCTCGAGGGGGAGGGGTGACAAATGAGGAGGAGGGAGGGGCCAGAGAGCTGGCAAGCAGGGTGAAGACGGCGATGACAAGGGGTGTGGGGTTGTCGAGGAGCAGGAGGAGGAGGAGGGCTATGGCGTCCGTCAAAGTCAATGCGAAGAAGAAGTCCAACCTTCCAGGAAAGGACGACTGGCAGATGTTTCCCGACGACTACTACGACGAAGAGCTGGACTACGGAGAGGTGCTGTCGACTGGCAAACAGACGGGCACGGAGCCTCGACCTCCCAACGATCCCGACAGCGGCATGGGGTTCTTGGACTTCCCCGCTTACCACCTGCCAGAGATTGCCTCTCTGGGCTTGAAGATAAGGAACGATATCAGGAAGCTGTGCTGCTTTGTGGCCGGGGGCGTGTACGAGAACCTGCTGTTCTTCCCCATCATCGAGCTGATGAAGAAACGCAATCCGGGTGTGAAGGTGGACGTGATTGCCTCTCCCCGGGGGAAGCAGACGTACGAGCTGAACAAGAACGTCAGGTTTGCGAGGGCCTTCGACTTCGAAGTGCCGTTCATCAGCCCCGATGATTACGCCGACATGGCCGGGCTGGTCAAGTCGGAGGTGTACGACATGATGATCTCCACGAAGAAGGCGGGGCCTGGGCAGGCCATCTTGATGTTCCTGGGGGATTGCAGAAACCGCATTGCGTACGTGCGGTCGGACCCAAATGGGGTCTACGCGAGCTGGATGCTGAACACCCCTATCGAAGTGGAAAGGAACGAGCTGGCGGATGATGGGGTTGAGATGTACAAGGAGCTGGTGGAAGAGCTGGACGACAATGATGAGTACGTCCCGAAGCTGCAGGTCTGGGTGCCGGGATTGGTGCGCAAAGCGGCGCGCGACAAGTACGAGCCGTACGGACTGAAGTCGGGGGAGTTCGTCGTAATGCACGGGCTCGAATCCACGTCCAAAGCGACCATGAAGTCGAGGGGGGATCCCGACAGCCTCCTGGGTCTGGACAGCTGGAAGAAGATCATGCGCGCTAGCAAACACCCCGTCTTGTTCGTCGTCCCCCATGACCGCGACCTCTCGACAGCCCAAGGGGCCCTCGGGCGCAATGCGTATGTGATCAAGATAACCACACCGGGGCAGCTTGCAGCAGTCATTGATGACTCGATGGGGGTGGTGACAACCAACACCGCTGCGGTGCAGCTTGCGGGGGCATTGAAGAAGACCAGTGTGGCAATGTTCTGCTCGGAGGGGAAGGCGATGAAGTTCGTGCCGGACGCGCAGGAGAGGCAATGCCAGATAGTCGCATCAAGCACAGGAAAACTCGCAGATGTTGACATAGCAGAGGTGATCACTGCCATGACGACGAGTTTTGCGTAGTTGGGGTTGGGGGGGGGAGGGGGGAGGGGAGGGGGTCTGAGCAGCTCGCTTTGTTGTGTAATACGTCTTGCATGTCGATTTTTGTTTAATATTTTACATTTGCAATTTTTGCACTTTCATTTTCTACTATATCATATATAATACACACACACACACACACACACAGATGTCACATATTTATCAACTCATATCTGTCAACTAATATATACATATATAGTATATGGTATACTTTTTTATATATATCGTCACAAATAGAACTGCCCGGTAAACCGTAGGCAGAGAGAGAGAAGAGGACAACAAACGAGTATATGTATATGTATATAGGCAGTGGTTGGTGCCCACCTCCTGAGAGGGGTATCAGTTGTTGGGCATATAGCCGGCCAACCGCAGTTAGTTGCCGAGCTTGAGAGATAGCGGCATTCATTGACTGTGGTTAGGGGCGGGGTTAAGCTGGATTATCACGTCACTTAACAGTATCATCATGGGGTTAGGGAACTCGGCAGACTGTAGAGGGGTCAGCCTCTTGATGAGTCAAAAGGTGAAAACTCCGACGAAACAGTCCGTCTCAACCCCTCTCTGCCTACGGTTCACCGGGCAGTTCTTCATGAAGATACGTTTATATATATATACATAGATAGGTATATATATATACATATCTAGTATATGTATATATATGTTGTGTGCGTTTAGAGTCTATAGACAGTATCGTGTGTGTGGATGTATGGATGCGTGGGTGGGTGGGTGGATGGGTGTGTTTAGACAGAGAGGCAGGTCTTTGGCGTGTTATGCTCTCAACATAATCCATGTGCACCTTCTTGCCGATGCCAATTTTAACACTCTCATTGCCACCCTATAAAAAGTCAGTCCTTTCTGCTGCACCGTCTTCCTCATGTCATGCCCAATTCTTTTTCTGCTTGATCCCATGTTTCTTGATTTCTTTTCTTTCTTTTTATTATGTAAAACTTTAAACCCTTCCNAAAAAAAAAAAAAAAAAAAAAAAACGACAACAACACAACCCTTTCACTCTCGCAAAAGGCCAATGATGGTCTCACAACAGATGGCATCTCGTTTCATTATTCTTCGGCAGTGTTAGCCAAACAACAGACACACAAAGAAAAGAAAAAAAGAAAAAAAAAACAAAAAAATTTCTCTGTTGCGAAAGGCCAATTAAGGCCTCGCTACAGATGTGATATTCTTTTTATTTTCTTAACTAAGCTATCTTCTTTCTCAGGTTCACCTTCTCATTTCTACCTACCTACCTACCTACCTACCTACCTACCTACCTACCTACCTACCAGGCCACCACTATGCCTAAGCCTATACAGGAGACCCCTGCAAGCATAGCTACCTCGCACAATCAAGGGGATGCATGTTGCCCCCCGGCCTAATTGGCGGTGCCCACGGAGTGGGGCCAGTGCCCGCTGTCAGGGTGCTGGCTATTGCAAAGACCGAGCCTTTTGCCAGTAGCTGTGCCTTCTCCCCCTGCCCGGCCAACACTCTCCCACACAACACACACCACCCACACACACCCACACACACCCGTGTTAGCAGCAGTGTCTAAAGTCAACTCTCTCCCAGACACCACACACCACCCACACACACGCACACATTCTCGCCGGTGTTGGCTAAGGACCTGACCCGACCCGACCCGAGCAATCCCGATCAGGGGGAGCAAGCCAATTATCTGAGGGTGGACTCACACCAACACGTAAAATAGCGAAGTAGCAAAATTTGTGAACCTCTAGGGTCACATGTTTGCAGTATTTTGAGAATTGGAGTATGTGGATGCCAGCGGCCTGGGGAGCAGGGGTCATACGAATTTTGTGGGCACCTCTGGAGGAGCCTGAATTTTCTTTTCTGTGATTTCTTTCTGCGGTCGCTATTAATTTTTTGTGCCTCACACTGTGTGACTGCAATGTGCCTAAATTCGAGTTCGGATGACTGGTCGCAGTCGTGTCTTTTCTGTTTTGTGATAGATACAGGAGAGCTGTGTGATCAGGCCGTGCCCTATAATAGCAGCGCACAATTTGCGGTTTTGCGGGCTAGTGTGAGTAGGCCCTCAGTTGGTTCGGACCATGCATGCCCCAGGCTGTCAGACTGTGGGGATTGAACCCGCGATCCTCCTGAATCCTTCCTCAGTGTTAGCCAAACATTCCCTGAAAAAGAAAAAGAAAAAACTGGGACCTTGCCGCAGCCCAGGTTGTTGTAGAGGCTGGATTACAGACATATGAGAGTCACCTTCGGCACTCGGCCATGTGGTAGAGGCCCCCTAATCTTATAGGACTCCCTCCCAACCTACCTCTTTCGTAATTTCTCTTGGCGCACTCCTAGTCCCACTATCCTACCTCAGCGAAGGCAGGAGTTGTTTGTCTAAGTGTAGACTAGTAACAGACCCTCTTGGTCCTTTGGCAGATCACACCTGTCAAACCAGGCAGCCGTAGTTAAGAGGGCACCAGTTGTTTGTCTAGAGTGAGACCGGGTTGTTTAGCTAGAGTTCAGACTACCGTAGGGGGGGAAAAAGCCTTCTCTGTCCTTGGGAGTCCAGGAGATGGCAGCTTCTGAGGCACTTTTGTACGAGGCCACGAGGCCAAAAGTGCCCTGCGCGCCAAACTTTGCCGATCCCCCAGCGCAACAATTGTTTTTTTTTTCCCCTTTTGGATGGCACGGCCAGCCATTGTGGTCCAGTAGTCTGGAAGCCCGAAAGTTGTGGGGTCTTTTTGATGGCACCGCCAGCCATTGTGGTCCCGTAGCCCGGAAGCGCGAAAGTTGCGGGGCCTGCACGACAAGGACCCATGGCCTATATGGGCCAAGACCAGCCGTTGTACAGAAGGCACAAGTTGTTTGTCTAGAGTCTAGACCTTCTCTGTTCTTCTGGAGATCACCCAGCTCATCTGGCTGAATGGTGCACCTGTGAACTGTCGACAAAGGGCCTCGCTCCACCACCCACCAAACTCGATTCCCCGTGGTGAGTACTAACCACAGGACTTTTCTCACCGAATCACTGCCTCGCTCCACCACTCGCCACACATGTACACTCACCACCTGCCTCGTCTTGTAGTGTGGTGAGCTCACCACTTTTGGTGAGAACCCGAGAGGTCCCACCACAACCCCGCCCTTGCAGGCGGGGAAAACCAGAACCGTGGTGAGTGGGCGGGTTGAATGCTCACTACACACAACCCCACCATTGCAGGCGGGGAAAACCAACACCGTGGTGAGCGGGCGTGGTGAATGCTCACCACAGTCCAGTCGCCACGGCAAAACAACGTTTTTCTGACATTCGCGCCGTGGTGAGTGGTGGAGCTGTCAGGCAGTTCACCAAAACGGTGTTGTGGTGAGTGGTGGAGCTGTCAGGCAGTTCACCAAAACGGTGTTGTGGTGAGTGGTGGAGCGAGGCGCAAATAGACATGAGTTGTGGTTCTAATCCAGACGGGGGACCAGACGAGCCGAGTAACTCTGCATTACCTGGGCGCTGTCAGCTCCATGATGCTACCTTGAGGCTGTCGCCATTACAGAAAAAAAAAAAGGGAAAAAAGAAAGAAATGGAACTGGACAGATAAAGACACTAGCCGCAGCCCTAGAGTTGTTTGTCTAGAGTCTAGACTAGAAAAGAACGGTCTGTGTCATTCTGGAGATCACAGCTTTTGTAAGGCCATACTCGCACTGCCACTTGTACTAAGATCTGGACGGTCACATTCATCCAGGCTCGCCCGTAATTGCGGTCAGATACATTCAGCAAAGTGCTAGTGTGAGTATGCCCTAATAGGAACTACACAGATAATGGACCTCGCTCCACCACTCACCAAGTGTGGTGAGAGCTTGTGCTCACCGTGAGTGCTCACCGAACTCAATCCCCTTTTTTTTTTTTTTCCCAATCCTTTCCTTCACCACCTCACCAATTTCACTGTCACCACACGGTGGACATGCAGGTCACCACACGGTGGACATGCAGCCTCGCCACGTTTGGTGGGTCCGCGAGAGGAGGGATCACAGCTTGGTCATTGCAGGCAGGGAAAGTGGTGGCCATGGTGAGCACCCACCATGGCCCACCCACCACAGAGAAAGCTGGTCATTCATCTGACAGGCCAGCGGAGGTGAGGTGGTGGAACGGCGACCCACTCACGGACAGTCGTGGGCCCGAGGAATCTACCCTCTTTCCCATTCATCACGACTGTATTGGACCAGAAAGATGGCCTTCATACTTTCATGATCAGGGTGCGTTGTCATCTGGGAAAGGGGGTAAAGCATCCCCCGTGCACAAGGAGCCACTTCTCTATTTGTGAGTGTCATCCTTAAACCACCAGTATTAAGTGGGAGCCTCTTTTTCCCGATGCCGACTTCTTCTGCTGAACCAGTGGGGGCACAGCGTCACACTCTTTCCCTGGGTGCTGTCGGCCTTGTCCATTCCATAGATCGAGCAAAATGACACCTTTCTACTGGGCACCACTGGCCTTTTCCGTTCTGTAGGCCAATCCCTGAAGGACGCAACATGTTGAACCGCCACTCCATCCGGACCTATTTTTTGACGGACCAAAAGTTGTATATCCCCGAGCCCAAGGTACACAGTGCCACTCTGAGGATAAGTAACTGTGGAACAGGGTCTGGGCACTGTAGATTTTGGCCCGATACTGGCAGACAAGAAAAATGAACAGTGCAGGGGCCGTTGGAGTGGTGGTTTAAACCACCAGTACCTTGCTCAGCTATCGGCCGTGGGCACTCCCGTATACGCGCCGCAGCCCTAGGGGGGTCGGCCAAGGGAAGGCCCGGTCGCTGCGCGAAGGCCGGGCTCTGCTTCCCTAGGAACGACACACTTGAGGAAACAAAAAAAAAGAAAGAAGGGAAAAGAAAAAACAAATACACAAACGAAAAAAAAAACGAACGGACAAAAAGTTGGAAGTCGCGCGCGAGAGAGAGAGAGAGAGAGAGAGAGAGAGAGAGAGAGAGAGAGAGAGAGAGAGAGAGAG